GGACTTGTGTTAAGATACGTAGGGAATTATGGATTAGGAGAGGGAAGGGGGGGATACAAGAAAATGTCAAAACATATTCATATGTTCTTAGTTATGCTAGGCTACAGTAAGGTGCTCAGTATAGAGTACAACCCTAGTTAGGGTTTCCTACTTGTACCTCATTCTCTCATAGTTCACCCATTCCTCCATAGCCTTCTTAACATGGCATTAGAGCAGGATAACAGTTAGTTAGGGCTCACCGAGCGTCCCGCTAGGCTCTTCCCAAAGCGCCCTACTGCGGCGCACGCTGCCTCCCCTAGCGCGCTACCCTATTGCACGCGCGCTTTGTGCCCGCGCGCGCGCCATCTGCCGCCCGTGCGAGCTGCATGCCCCCCCGCGCGCTGCCTGCCCGCTAGCGCCGCCTGCATGTGTGCGCTGCCTGCCCGCGCGCGCACTGCCTGCTCGCTGCACCTCCTGTTCGCTGCACCGCCTGCCCGCAAGCTGCCTGCCTGCGAGAGTAGCCTGCACTCGCGCGCTGCCTGCCCGCGAGCGCCCCTACCCGCACGCACCGTCGGCCAGCGGGCCCCATGCCTGCTCGCGCGCCGTTTGCCCGCGAGCCGCCTGCCTGCCTGCTGCTGCGCAGTAGTTGCAAATCGTGCTGATGCGCCTGCGCTCCTACTGCCGCACGCGCTGCTGCGCTGTGCCCTGACGAACCGCGCCGCCTTGCTGAGCTGCGCCACCCAGTCCGCGCCGTGCTGCCCTGCCGAGCCGTGCCGCCCAACCCGAGCCGCGCCGCCTTGCCGAGCCGCGCCATCTTGCTAAGCATGCTGGTGCTTCTACTGCTGCAACTACTACTACTAGTGCTGCTACTGCTACTATGACCACAATCTCGGTTCTTACCTTTGATGCGGGGGCCGCCCTATTAGCTTTGATGTCTGGCTTGATGATATCCAGCTGTACCTGCAGAGCGAAGCTAGGGATGGAGTTTCATTGATAGAAAATACGTCCGGATCTCTCCTCGCCCCAGCTGATACAACCGACTGCTTAGAATAGTCAAAGTGGCTCACGTGTGACGCCACTGCCCGCCTTTCTGTCTGCAACCACCTTCCGCTAGCTGAGTGGGCACGTTTTAGCCAGCAGAAGACAGCCAAAGCCCTCTATGATGTCGTTGTCGCTCGCTACTCCTCCCCAGCTACTGCTACCCTCAATCGTCTCATACTTTCGTACCTCTTCCCTGAGCTCGCAAACTTCCGCACTGTTGCTGACCTCATGACCCACCTTCGTTCTAGTGAGGCTCGCTACCGCGCCGCTCTCAAGCCGGCCTTCCTCAAACAGACCCCCCCCCCCCCCCCCCCCCCCCTTCCCCCCCCTTTACATCACCCTGTAATTCATTGTCACTCGCCTCGCTGACTCCCTCCTCACAGTTAGGGACCACTTCCTCGCCCTTGACCCCACTGAGCTCACACTTGCCTCGCTGGAGAAACACCTTCTCGAGGGTGAGACCAACATTGTCGCTGTAGCTGCCACTCGTGGCACTCCCCGCTCCCCCTTCTTCGAAGGGTGTGCTCCCTCCCCTCTCATACCCTCAATTGCTACCGCTGCTGCTGTCGACCTCCTTGGTACTGAGGACGTCGGCGTTGCGTCTGCTCCTAGTGAGAGGCGCCGCAGCGGCAGGGGCCATAGCTAGGTAAACCCTAGCTAGGCAAGAGAGAAATGAGCAAAGGAGGGGTTTCACTAGCAGCAGTTGGGATACATATAGCAAACCCTAACTGGGTTGTACCCGCTATAGAGCACCCCACTACAGGCTAGATAATAACATTCTGACACACCCCCATAGCCAAAGTGGGGTGTAATCAGCACAATGAGCAGGTACAGCAGGAGGTCACAATAATAAGCAAAGCTAGAGGTAATCACAGCGGGCAAGTGAGGAGGAGGAGGAACTGTGGAAGGAGAGAAGATGGGAGGCAACGACTGAAGCTGCAGAGGCACGGGCACAGGAGTCACACTGGCACAGTGGCTACCGGAACAGCGCCCCGGACTACAGGAGTAACTGGCTCCGCGGCTAAGTGCGGCAGACGAGCAACGGACCCACGGGCGACTGGCGCAGCTGGCTACGACTGGGCTACCGGAACAAGCAAGGGCGACGGACTACAGGCGCTGCAGGCGACACGACAGCTACCTCCACACAACCTCCTCCAACTGACCCACACCCTTGACACACACCCCCTGCTGAACCCCTAACTCCACTCCCACGTCACCCCCCTAGCACCACTCCTTCGGCTCCCACACACCCACCCCCCTGAGCGGCAGCTGCAGCAGCGGGAGACGGAGGAGGAGGAGGAGCAGGGGACGGCGCACACAACTGGCACCCCCACAACCGCCACCCCCACACTCCCCACCCCCAAACCCTAAAACGGGTGGCACGGGGCAGGAGCGCGGGGGATGGCGTGGGGGACGGCTCGGGAGACCGCGTGCGGCACTGGGGCAGGCTGCCCGGGCCGCGCGCGGGCCTGGCGCAGGTCGCGCGGGCCGCGTCGGGCGACGGGGGGCGACGCGCGGGTCCGCGGGCTCCGTGATGGGCGACGGGGGGCGCTCCGACGGGCGACGGGGGGGGTGCTTCGACGGGCGACGGGGCGGTCGACGGGAGGGGGGGAAGCGCGGGTCCCCGGGGTGACGCACGAGGGAGGAAACCGCCGCGCGCCTCGGGGCCACGGCGGGCAGGGCGCGCGGCGGGAAGAAAAAACGAACATCGCGCGCCACGGGACGCGCGACACACAGGAAGGCAGCGGAAGCAGGCGGGCCCACAGGCCAGGAGCGTAACCGCTCTGATAGCATGTTAGAATAGTAGCTAGAATAAGGAGCCATAGCTAGGTAAACCCTAGCTAGGCAAGAGAGAAATGAGCAAAGGAGGGGTTTCACTAGCAGCAGTTGGGGTACATATAGCAAACCCTAACTGGGTTGTACCCGCTATAGAGCACCCCACTACAGGCTAGATAATCAGAGAAATTTCTCTGACTTCTGGGGGCCTGATCAGGAGGCAGAAAAGATAGAAACAGAAAAGAGAGGTTTGCACTAGCAGGCAATTGAGTACATATAGTGAACCTTAATTTGAGCTATACTCGCTATAGAGTACCCCACTGCAGGCTAGACAAATATCACATTCTGACAGCTCGGTGACGATTTCGCGGCTGCATACACCAGGCGAAGATGTGACTATTTTTGTGACGGTAAGTTGGGACTTTTCAGGGACTGCCCGTGACTTTGGTGTGATGAGACGAAGAGCGATGGCGGCGATTGAACAGTGGAAAAACCTGTAACTGCTCCCAAAGTTCTGCTCCGGGCTTTTCCTCGATGGGGCTGGCATTGGGGGGGAAGGGCATGGTGGCGTTGGAGTAGGGGAAGTCATCGCAGATGGCCGGGTCGAGGGGGCGGCCAGACACGCCCTTGACTGCTGTCATGTTCACCGCGCCGGGCGGGCAGGTGGCGGGGATGGTGAGCGGGTCGCAGCAGAGAGGGGTGACTGGGACCAACGTGGGACCGGAGTAGCACGCGGTTTTCTGCATGGTGATGGTGGGGGTGGGAGGTGGGGGGTGAGCACGACAAGTTCAAGCAGAAGCAGTGAGCAGCAGCGCACAGGAGAGGGAAGCAAGGAAATGTTGCGGGATGTGCGTGGCATGGCCGAGAGAAACGAGCGCACGTGCCAGCGCTTCGGCGTGAAAGCGAGAAACTGGGTTGACTTGGTTGAATTGACGTGACAACGACTCGACGCGCGCGTGCATCGCACCCAGCGTCGTCTCATGGGTGGATGGACTCACCGTGACAGTGGCGCTTAAGCCGGGGATGTGCTGCGCAACAAGCGGCATGAGAATCTGCTGGATGATCTCCTCCGGCGTGGTAAAAAGTTCGTACACCGCGTATCCCGCCGCTGCACTCGCGCGCCGCGCGCGCACGCAACACAGCAAACCGCACCGCACCACGACGACAAGAGAACATGCATATCAGATAGATAACGGGATACAACGACTTGAAGGAAAGACGAAGAGGGCGACAGGATCGAGACACGGAAAACCGTTACATGGGAGCGCCGCGGGTCTGACCTTCAAGCGAGTAGCATGCGTCGTAGATGGCCTGCCCGTGGGCCTCGCAGATCTGCAGCATGTACTCGCCGGGCTTGCCCGTGACGTAGTTGCCGGAGTCTGCCACACACGCCGGCGAGAAGGCGGGAGCAGACGCGGCGGGCGTGACGGGGGAAATACGGCGGGGAAGAGGGAGAGGAAGGCGGGGACCGGGCGCGGTAAGGCGGGGGGAAGGCCAGCGCTGATTTCAACGAGCAAGATTTGTTGGGTATGTACTGTTTTTGTTAAACTTCATTAGATGTGTTGGCTTTCTCACCAGGGTTGCACTGCACCGCGCAGGCGAGTTGCTCAATGAGTCGCTCGCACATCTCGTTACCCTTCAAGATAGGACAGATCTGCATCGCGGAAAAGGTTTTGGGCCCGAGTATCCAAAAACGGGGTACTCTTCCGAAATGTTGCGGGAATGTATACAGAAGTGTCCAAAAAACACCCAGGCCAATCCGCACCCCTAATCCCACACAAGGGACTCGCCACTGCCACGTCGCGACTCTTTGGCGGGACAACGAATGTCCCGCCAATATCCTCCAACACCGCAGCGCACATTTCAGTCATGCAGCGGACTCGCGGCCCGGACAACATGGGGTTCACTATACGCGACATTGCATGCCCAACTGCATACCATAATCGGGCAAACAGCAGAACTTCGGCCCAACACACCTACGAAGTGAATACACCACTTAAACGCATACTAAACAAATAGGGTATCCACCAAAACATCAACTATAACGCATGTAATCTGGAACACAAAATCACAATCCGTCAAACAACACATACGAGTACCACGCACGTCTTACATCTCAGCAGCACTGAAAGCCGCCTACTCGTACAAAACGTGAAACCACCCTACTCCACCTCCAACTACACACCGCCAACAGCAATACCAGCCTAGAGGCTTCCGCCTGGCAAACAATCGTCGCACACCACACTAGCTTCCTGCGCCTTGACCAACCCACCAGGCTGGCCGCCCACCGCAGGTCCGTTACGAGCACGCTTAGTAGGCGTCCTTCGAAGGCGGCTTATCACCTCCTCGTTATGCGCGCCCAACGCCTCGGGCACCTGGGACACTGGTATGCCCAAATTGCCCGCCTGCTGGCTGTACTCGCCCGCCACCATCCGCACGACCCTGCGCCGGCTGCGAACGTCCCGATACAGTGGCCCTTCAGGGATACAAAAATACGCCGGTATCTCGTCATCATCCTCCTCGTCCTCCTCATCCTCCGCCTTAATCACGCCCCACTTGATGAGCAGGTCCTCGTCGCAGCCCACAAAATCCCACGACGTTATATACATAGCAGGGGCCCTCTTAAAATTCTCAATAGCCATCTGCAGCATTGTAAGCTCGCTAACAATGGGCTCAAACATCAAAGCAGCGCCAGCGCCATCCAGGCGTTTCATCAGCGACACCCACGCCGTCGGCACACAACCCGTGCGCCACCAGCTCCTCTGAATAGCCGTCTCCGACGTCAACTTGCACGCCAGTTCCAGCCTCCTCAGCACGTCTGGGAGTGACGGTCGAGGTACCTCTCCCTTCTTCTTCCACTCGTTGCTGTCCATAGCGTCCTTCATGAACCAGTATCGGTGTATTGCCTTCACCGTGTCAACCACCCCGGTCGTCGACGACATGCTGCACCGGGGCGGCCCGCCATAAAGCTGCACCACCTTGACACTCAGGAGATTCTGCGCCGCAAACCCGGCAACGGTTTCCGACTCGAACACACAACCAGTCAGCTCGTGCTTCGGGTCGTACACCAGAACAATTGCGCGCTCGTTCTTTGCGAAGAGATCCCCGTCAAACTTCACCATGTGCTCCGTGAATAGCTGTTGACACACGACGACATCCCCACAATTTACGCAATCAGCACCTTCCTCGTAACAGATTGCATTTGTGAAAACAGGAAAGCAAACCGCGCCGAGACTCACCTCAGACGACATGCGGCCGTGCTTTGCGTAGCGCACCACGACATTATGCTCACGACGCCGCCCATTGTGTACGGCCCTGCCATCATCCCGCCTCAACACCACAAGCGGATGACGCCACTTGGAGCCAGAAGCGTTGACCAGCAAACCCACCATCATATGCCACTCGCGCGCTATACCGAACTCCGCGTCCATAACCGCCGACACCGGGAGCCTCGTAGGTATGAACGGGAACTCGGAGAACAAGTACACATCGTCAGGATGGGCTTTGAGAGCCTCCAGGAGAGTCACTATCGCGGCCATGCTGTCGTATGACGTCTGTCTAGCACGAAAAACGCAGACTTGATATCCGCTGTGGTCCACGACGAAAAACAAGAGACGAGTACTTAGACGGTAGAGCCGAGGTTGAACCGATGAAGGTACGTACCGTCGCCCCTTCGCCTTATCCCGAACTACCGGAGGTACGGGGGAACATTGGCTGCGTAAAACACACCACATGTCACGTGAACCGCTAGCCTCACACGGTGCCCACCACGGATTTCATTGAACGGCAACCACATACTGTACACATCACCGACACTAGGTGGCATTAACTCAGTGGACCCCCGCACGCACCAATGGGGTTCGCCTATCCGCTCCGGTATGCACAACCGCGATACCCACCCATGCACACCGTTGTACAGCGACCGCACGACGAAGTTCAAAAAAAGGGAGTACACCCTTAAAAAAACGCGACTACAGAAAGGTACTCTCCCGACTACTGCCCCTTCAATACAACACTGCATGCCTGCGTACGCGATCGAAACACCGCAGTGCACGAGGCACACAACATTCAGAAAGAGCATACCATAAATCTTGCCAAAGGCTAACAGAGCCCCATTGCAACCTACACAATTGCGAACAGTCATAAACCACAAATATAGTGTCACAATGAAGCTTCTCAGCATGGGTTACGAGTTTATGGTGGCATATCACCCTCCCGGCGTAGATAATCAAACCAGCACCACGCCACACAGCATATTGGTCACGGTTGTGTAAATACGTAACACACATGTTTGACATCCAACAGTCACTGAATGGCCCGACCACATCACTCGATCAGCAGAAACTTGTTCACCAGGAGCACCTTGGGGTTGCTGAAGCTCCGACAAATGTGCACCACCCTCAGGATCGTGGCCACCTCCACCGCAGCGAACCTCGTCTCCATCCGGTGGGGTGTTAGCTGGATGCATGTGGTCAGGGGACAGAGCCCAGCCTGCTCATAGTACCGCACGTACATGTAGCCCTTCGGCTCCCCCTCATCCCCAGCCGCCTTGAAGATGCACAACACCTTGGCAAACCACTCCCCCCCTTTAGGCGCCAACAGTGCCACATCAGAAAACCACTTCTCCCCCGGGCTCGCTTTCACGAACGTGCCCTTGGCCACCAACGCCCCCCCACGCGTGCGCGGAATCGCCACGGCGGTGTGTGCCTGTGGAACACGGATTTGGGATGCGGGTGATTAGTTACCAGCCGTCTCAATGTCGCAATCTCACCAGCAGACTCTGCAATAACTACCATACCTGGACGCGCTCCGTCTTCACCCCTGCCGATCGCATGCATCCCACTAGATCCTTCATGTCGTCACCGTGCGACGCGTGGTACATCGCCAAAACGGCATCATCCTCCGCCCCAGGCACCATGAGCCGCCCCTTCCTCGTGAGGACCGGCTTCTTGGTCCGCACAGCCTGCACATCGGTGAATGCAACGTTCATTACCACCAGGCGGGATGCGGCCCGATTGTGTGTGGCCTCCAAGGGACCCTACCTCACATACCGCTTTGCAACCCTACCTCTCTGAGAGCAGTTGTGTACTGCCACCCGCCGCCTGCATCAGCCGCCACCTCCCGGCAGATCTCCCGTTGCACCTCCTCCTCGACTATCCTCCGGGGGATGTCTTTCCAGTTGCCGCCCCGAACCGGCACCTTGACCGTGCCCTTGTGTGTATGCTCCCACAGCTCCGTGTTGTAGTGGTGGGGCATGCCCCTGAGAATCACATTCTCCAGCAGGTGCTTGATCATGTGCACCTTAGGGAACCGCCATCCCGACTTCTGATCTGGGTATGCTCGTGGGAGAAGGTCGACCAGCCTGCCCAACCCATCGCAACAAGAGATATAGAGGTATACATTTGATGACCGTATGTCCTTCTAGTAGTGCAGGATTACAGAAACCAGCATAGGACGCAGGCGGTTCTCACCTGTATGCGAGCTCCCTTGCGTGTGCGAGCGACGCCCTCGTGTGACCATCCACGCCAAGAAAGGCCTTGTAGAACGTTGCGTATAACCGGAAAGCACGCACTCTCATAGCCCTCAGCTCTGCGTCCGGCCCCTTCCCAAGCGCCCCCTTATCCGCCACCAGGATCGGCATGACTTGCATCATGGCGCGGTGCTCAAACGCGGCGTAGTTGGCACCACTGGCCAGATACGAGGATCCTCTCGGCAGCCGGAGCACTGTGCTCGGCGTCTCTGTCTTTGTGGTCTTCTTTCTCCTGCACGGAGGGTTAGGGTAGCACAGCAGACAGGAGGGATGAGGACATGTCACACAGCCAATCTATCATCACCAAATCATATCACACCTTTCGCATGCACGCACCCCTCTACCGTGCGCCGCTCGGGCTTGCTGAGAGTGTCGATGTGGCACTCGATCATGTGCAGAGCAACACCGGAGTCCAGCACATGTATAGTGTCAGCCACGCTGGCCCCATATGGGTTTCCCCACTCGGTGTCCGAGAAGTTCCACCTGCTGAGCACACACTGCACGTGAAGACACTCGTGTAACAATGTTAGTAACGGCCGTCAAATCGTGCCTCCCACACGCCCATGCGTTGCTATGCGGTATATCGTGCAAATCACCTCAATCGGGTGTGTTGACCATTCCGACTGCACTTTCTCAGCCGCCTTCACGGTCTTGCAAGCTAGAATCTGCTGCACCGCATGCTCCTGGGAAGCAGGGGTCCTGATGGTAGATTTGAGCTTGAGGTTTGCCAGATCATCCTCCTCCACGTAGCATGTGGTGCAGGGTCTCTTGGTCCCAGTCTGCATGGTGGCAGTAGCACGACATGCTTCAATGAAGTCCGCCGAGTAAGCGTAGTAGCATGGGACCGCCTTCACAAGTTGTCCGTTTGCGTCCGGCACGTAGAAGAAACGCATGGGACAGCTGGTTCGACAGGCAGTTGCACGCAGAGTTGTAAGATCATCAGCAAGCACGGGCATCGAATCTGGGACTGCACGGTGCACTGACACACAACGAGCATCACTGACCAGCAGTAAACAAACTGACCCGTCGCCCACGTCTGTGCACGGTCTACCCACGAACACATTATGGACTCACTTTGCCGACTCCCGCATGAGCGGTGCCAATATGATGCGTATGGCCTCTTGGAAGACCCGGGCCTTTTCTGTAGAGGTAGCCCACAAGGGAGGAAAAGGCAGCACGGCCGTCAACACGTGACCAGGCTCCGTCCATCGCAGGTGCTCAGGAATGTTGAACAGTGTTATGAGCACTGGCCAAGCCTGCCGCCTGCCGTTCCTTGTTGCGTTCGTGCCATCGCTATACACAATGACGCCCAACACCCATGCTTTCTCGTCTTGTATCGCTTTCTGCGCTCAAACAAGGACGGCCAGGTATTGGTCTCAGCATCACTCAGCGATAATGGGACGCCAAGCCCCACAATGTCAGCCGACCACACAGCTTACCTCTGCTTCCTGCATCCACTTCCCAGTCTCGGGGTCGCTGAACCTCCGTTTGCCTGTGGTAGGGTCCAGCTCCGTCCTCGCCTTGGTAACGAAGCCTGGTACAGCGACGAAAGTTCGCACCAACTTCTTCACCAACTGCATGGCATTGCGTTCGACGTTACGAGTTGCGGCGTCATGTTGTGCATCGAATGTAGACGTAATATATTTGGAAACTCGGGCATAACCTTACCTGCTCCGTGTCGCGATAATGCAGGAGCAACTTCTGGACCTCTCCTTTGGTCCCGCGGACAATGATCTCCTCCACAAGCCACGGAACCAGGTCCGTGGGCGCTCTCGCGTTAGCCCATCGTCGCACATCCAGAGCATTTCGCCAGCGGCGGAGAGTGCGGAGATTGAAGCGAGGGTTGCGAAAGATGTGCAGCAAGCGGTTTACTTCGCGCCGCGAAAGGTCGGCATCGCGGATGAACAGGTATATAGCAGTGAGCGTGTCAAAGACAATGCCGTCCTCGCTTTGATCACTACAGGTGGACTGCTGCTCGTCGTCTACCGTCCCTTCATCACCTGCTGTCGCTTCCGCCACCTCGTCAGCGGCCGCCACTGCATCGTTAGCTAGCGAGTTCGGGCTAGACGTCTCGTTGGGGCGACCTGCGGTACGGGCGGAAACAGCCGCGTAGGCCTCCAGATAGGCCTGAGCTAATCGGGCGTCACGCTTGCCGAGGATGTTGCGTCTGCACTCTGCGCTCTTTGCAAGGTGCGACTGAAGCGCACAGTCATCGCGAAGGACACGCGGACACCCCCTGCAGCGGCAGGCCGCCATATCCGTAACACGGAGCCTTAAAAAGTCAATGCACTAACGCATGAAGCAGTGGACACTGGGGTTGGTATCCACCCCAGTCACAGTCACTGGCTCAACCTCACCCTGGTGTCGTGAACATGATGTTGCTATCAAGGAGAATACGTATGACTTTGTACCGCGTGCCACTTTTGACAATACAGGAGAGCTTTTTGACGGATCTAGGCTGGCTACGTCATGCGCTGCCTGGCACCATCGTGTGTCCCCACATATGCCTAGAGGTTCTTAGTGTTGTAATTGCCCATCCTATAGTACTCTGTGCAACAATATGGTGTACACATGTGGGTGACATTGGACAGTGTGTGGACCGACACTGAAGTGCGTCACTCTATGTGGTACGCATCGAAACTTTAGCGTGGGAGATAACATTAGGTACAACATGGTGAACACGTGGTCCCAGTACACTCGTGCACCTGTTTAAAGCAAACGGATTTCGCCAGAGATGACGTTTACACGTTGGAGCCCAAAACAGCACAGCTCGGCCACGAGATTTTTCTTGCCAGCAAAACGCGGGCCGACGTTGACACATGTCACGTCCTGGCGATTTCCCGCGCAGCTGCATGCAGATCTTGTAGCTTCGCCCATCCTGCTCGGGCTCGATATTCCCAGGCGATATGACGTTCCATTCCGCATAGAAAGCCAAGTCTGGGCACCTGTCTTGCTCTGTGTTAGTTCTTGTCACACTCCATCCGCCGGTGTCCAGGCTTATGTAACGCCCTCCAATGACGCAGCCTGGTCGCGAAGGTATGGCGCGGGACAAGGTAGGTGTTAAAAAACCACGTAGCGGCACAGACAATGGAGACGTCACGGAGGTGGCGGCCTCTGCGCGCGCACCGCACGCAAACGCCGTCACAAGGGCCACTCGAAGTAGTACCCGCACGCAGCAAGGATCTGCGAATCAAGAATCCGCAAGCGCCGCTAAGAAGCTCGACCTGCCCAAGTACAAGACGAAAGTTAAAGTGAATACGGTGGACCCCGAACCAGATGATGTCGTTGCCCGCATCGCCAGAAAGAGTAAGGATGTCTCTTTCACATCCATGTCTTTGAACAACCGCGCTGGACAGTCGTGCGTCGTCACCGCCAGAGATCTTGTAACCATCGCAGATGGTCAGTGCCTCACCGATGCGATAATCGACTTTCACAACATGTGAGTCTTGAGATCGCTGGTGAATCACGTCGCCGTCAAATACGTCAACTAACCTGGGCGTCCGGACCCCCCATGTGCAGATTGTTGAGCATCGAACATCCACGGACCCCTAATGGCAAGACATGGGCGGTTATGGACAGCATGGCGTATCAGTACGCCACGGGTTACAACAAGCCGTTCCAGCACGGCAAGGGGGAAAGTCTGCTCGCCGTCGACTTTCTGGCCATACCAGTTTTCAAGGGGTGAGCTGCGGGGTGTATAGGATGCTACGTCTAATTTGCTATGTCGTCTATGTCAATGACCCGACCTAGTGTCCGTGCTGTTCCACAACTCCATCGACAGAAACCACTACTCGCTCATCATCGTGTGCGAGCCGGCGAAGTTGTTCCGCAAGGACGGGGAGGGTGATGGGGACAAGCTGCAGATGGTCCTGTTCGACAGCGAGGGCACACATGCCGGGGATCCTACCGTCTTTGATGGCGCGAAGCTGTGAGTATGGTTGTCCTTGTGAACTGAATCATGAATGCTTGTGCTCTGCGGATGAACAATCTCCGTGTTGTACTGGTGCGCATGCTCAGGCTGCTGGATATCACGACCAAGCAGTTGCACCCAGAGTGCGACCACGAGCGACTTGTTTCCACGCTTTCGAGCGCGGACTGTGTGGTGATGCAGGTATGAGCCGTGTGGTCGGGCCATTAAAAGCTTGGGATGGAATTCCCATATGCGAAAGCCCATGCACTGACACACATGCCCACTCTTCCATGCAGGCGCACCAGCTCATCAGGTAGGACAATCTGGTTGACTGTGGCGTATTCTTGTGCCACTACTTGCGCGGACTCGTAGAGTCAGACTTCTCAACGGTGCTGAAGTATCTGTATTTGGACGGCGTGAGCGGTGGCCAGTACCGCCGGCGCATGCGTGCGGATCTGAGCGCGCATGCAGCTTGTGAGCTCGTACCAGCGCTGACCACACGGGGGAAGATCGTTCCACCGCAGTATGCACCTCGGACATCGGAAATCGGCGCTGTGAGGGCGTCGGACGAGGTGGACATGAGGAGCCGTCTCGCTCAGTACCAGGTCGAGGTGTACGGACTACGGAGGGAACTTGTCATCTGGGGCGCGGCAGTGACCGCGCTCGGGAACGCCATGGGGTACAGCAGAGATCAGATGCTCGCAGCAGCCGCGTACGTGGTGAGGACGGACGGAGGGGCTTATCGGAGCATTGAACCCGGGGGATCACCCTCTACGCCGCCTCACCTGCCTACTGAGCGGACCGGTGGCCCCCTCCCCGCCGAACCCTGTGGCGCGCAATCGTGTGCGAAGGGTGGGTTTGTGGCACACACGGAATTGGGCGTAATCCATCAGCACCCCCGGCCCCTTCCTCCCTTATCGCGTGCGTCTTCGGCCCATGACAGTCCTGGTGGCCCGAAGACCCCTACCAACGGGAACGGTGAAGTCGGCCCGGGTGTACGTGCGACGACAAAGGTCCTGCTAGACATGCCTGCTGCGAAAAGGGGGGAGAAGCGACCACGTGTCGATGGCGGAAGCTTGGCAGCGGAAGGTACAACAGCCGCTGGTGGTGGGGGGGGAAGTGGTGGGTCCTCACAGTACACCGGGGTGCGGCGAGAGAAGAAGAGGGGGACATGGAGCGCGAAGATATTGGTGAGGGAGCCTGGTAAGGCCAGGCGGACGCAGATGCGGTTGGGGTCATACACACAGGAGCCAGAGGCAGCTTACGCTTACGCCGCAGCTGCTCATGTGTTAAGGCCTGGCGTCGTCATACCACGCACGATCCAGTTGACACCAACGGAACAGAGCCTTCTGGCAGGATGCTCCAAAAAGGTCATCAAGCTCCTGGTCAAGAGCCGGATGTGGTTCCGCTGGAGAGAGTGGGAGCAGGCGGTGCTGGACTGCCATGGTAACATGGATATTCCTGAGACCGAGACCCCAACCAGGTCTGCAGAGGGAGGGGGTGGGGACGAGGTGGAGGAGGAGGGGGGGCAGGACGCTGATGTCGGCACGGACGATGGGCAGGCGGATACTGAACCTGTCAAACATACTGCTGCTGTTGGAGTTTATGGTCTTGAGAGTGATGCACAGAATGGAGTTCCAGGGGAGGAAGGAGTACCAGGGGAGGACGATCTGGTAGGGACCCAATTTGGAGAGTTTGACCCGGCTAGCCTGGGCTTGTGATGGATGAGGTTGGGAGTGTGTGGTCAGCTGCATGCACCTGAATGTACCATGCGTTGGTTTCGATTGTACCATATTGTTTCCTTGATGGGATTTCCCGACGCCATGCTCGGTCACCTTTATTTGTTATTGTTGTGTTGATGTTTTAGTTTGCGGTACTATAATAACGATGAGGATTGCCGTTAGCGGATACAATATTGACACCGCACTGGTGTACGTGATCGGCTCAGTGTATTCTACATGACCACTCGTTGGTACCACCCTGGATTCGGTTAGGTTGAGTTGGCACAATCTTACTGGTGCGTAATCTGGTTATGCTGACTGGGGCAAACAAGCAGAATTCGGGCTACACTAAGCGAACACCAACCGCTGGTGTATACCTTTGGGTTTGAGAGCATGTTGGACCATTCGGCGGGAGGAGTTCACCGGAGTTCAAACATGGAGACCTCGGACGCGTCGATCGAGCCCTAGCCTGCTTCCAGGTCACAGAGGGTGTCCAAGCCTCCGTCGTACCTCCGCAACGCATACCAGCTGACTCAGAAGCGACAGCGCGGGAGGAAAGCGGAGCGATCGGTTGCAGTGCCAGCCAAGCGCGCCAGGGTGACGAAGGCGAAGGGGGTTCCTCTGAATGGTAATAGTTGTTCAAGCGACGACTGCGAGCATGGCCGTTGATTACCATTCATCTGGCACCATCTTAAAGTGTTGTGTTCGTTGTGTTTGTTCGCAGCTACAGCATCCGCTGCGCCAGAGACTTCAGTGGCGGAGGCACCTCAGGCAGAGGTGGAGATAAGCGTCGGTGCGGGCGATGAGGACATCGAGAGTGAGAGCGAGGCACGCCCGGCGCCCTCCCGGTCGAAGAACTTGGCCTCTGTGATGGCAGAGTCACAGGCGACTGCCACCACCAGGCCCCGTCCTCCGCCCGTGCGTGTGCCGGACAACCCTTTTGTGGCCATGCCTGTAGCTGGGTCGTCTCGTGACCCGACAGCGCCCGGGGAGGAGACACACATTCTGATTAGTCGCGCGGAGTTCGAGGCCTTGAAGAAGGCGCAAGAAGCGAGCGCGCGCACCGTGGCCCGTCTTGAAGAGGAGCTGAGGTCTGCTAAGGCTGTGCAGGCGCGTGCACCCCCTCGCAGGCCGGACGAGCATGTCTCGGGGAGCGGTGGTGCTTCTGGTCGGAAGCGGAAGCGTCGGGAAGAACTCGCCGATGAGGAGACATCCGACGAGGAGAGCGAGGATGAGCCACCCACCAAGAGGGGGCATCTGAGGGTGTCCAAGTCACCGGTCCTGCAGCGGGCGCTGAATTTTCTGCCCGCAAACAAGTCGTGGAAGGTGCGTTGTGACGAACATAGGTGCCTCCACCATGTGTTAACTGCCTTTGCACCCCTTACTACGTGCTTCTCGGAGTTTTGACGGCGGATGTGTGTGCTGGGTGGTTTTGATATGGTTGCAGCGCGCGTGCGACCTGGTGAAAGATTACCTCTTCTTTGAGAAGGAGAACGCCCGGATCACGTTCTATCCGAGCAGCGACGACAAGACGGTGGGAGTGTGTGCAGTGATCGAGCGCCTGCCTTTCGATTTCGTGACACTTGCTCTGGCTGCGGACAAGGCAAGACGGTCGGATTTGAACAAGGCCCTTAGCGAGTGGAAGTCGGGCGCAGCAGGAAGGACGCGGGACATCTCGTGTCCACGGATGGGGCTTTTCCGCGACGAGCGAGATACGCGCAGCCCATGGGCCACGAAGAAGGACCGTACTCTGGAGGAGATACGATCGCATTATGGGCTGCTGCTCGGCGTTGACGGTAAGGCGGTGGTCACGTGGTTGGAGAGGGGATGTATGCGGGATGCGTGGATCGCGGACTTACGTGGGCGTGCATTTGTGCGCAGATCCCCTGGCATTGTCCAAGTTTGGGAACGATCGGGAGGGGATGCCGTTCGCCTCTGGCGCATTCGTGGCATGCGCGGTTGCGGCATTCAAGCCGAAGAAGGTGGTCGGGCCACTGACGGTGAAGCTTTACCACCTGGCGTGGCTGGAGCATGTGGTACGTGCTTGGTGTTTGTTTGTGCTATGTGGTCACCCGTCCTCCCCCGGTGGCTAAGGGGCTGTTTGCGTGTCGCAGGTGACCGACACGCTGGTGAACTGGGAGGCGAGGAAGGGGCGACTGTCGAACTCTGCCTGTGGAAACGCGCAGGTGGTCGATGGGCTCGTGATCCTTGCGCGTGAGGCAGTGTCGAACGCGATCAGAATCTTCAAGCCTAAGTACGACGTCGCCTCGTGCTCGTGGACCTGGGGGCGCCATGGCCTTCGACTGTCCTCGTGCGGGCTGGAGGACTTAATTCCAGCGACTGCCGCTACCCGTGATGGGGCAGAGGTTCAGGCGGACGAGATCTCTGGGTCGCTTGGAGGCCCGTAAATGGTGGGGGTTGAAGGCATGTTTTCCCAGCTGGGGTTTGTCGTGCATTTGTTGCTGTAGGCGGGATATTTGTGTTTGTTGTGGGTCCTAGCTATGTGTGTGTTTCTTTTGTGTCGCTTTGCTGTAGGTTTATTACGGATGGGTTGTGCGTTTTTGAAATACGGTACAAACTCACGCGAACACTTAGGGAATGTAAACACACCACGTTGTATGGTTACGCCGTATTTGGATAACAGCATTGCGGTGTCTAATAGGTACGGATACGTGGTTCCGGTTTCACGAGCTGCGCACATTACTGAGGGCGCGCTTCGGGCCGCGTCGAACGTAGACCATTCGTGGCACGCACATTGAATAGGTGCTGTTGAGGGATGTGGTGGACGTTTTCCGCACATCTGACGTCGGATATGTTTGCAGTGGTTGGCCGCATCTCACGCGTCAATGGCGTGGCCAGTCGCACCAATAGGGGGAAGTAGTAAAGCTTGGGACCACGTGTCTAAATCCACCAGGTGTAAATGGTGGGCGGACAGTGGAGACACGTCCCGCGTATGCAGCGGGCGGAAGCTTGGTTCACTTTATCGTCAGGTGTTGGTGCACGCCCTGGTAACACCGGCTGAGGTGGCGAGCATGCGTTGGGACGTCAGATTTGGCGAAGGTTTGCCGTAGGACGGGCGAGGCGGGCCCGCGCTACGTTTTAGTGGCTGACGAAGTGTGTAGTTACATGGTGCGGGGCCACTCACGGTCCCACAGGTGTACGGTCGAGATGCGGGGTGTTCGCGGTGTGGATTTGCGCCGCGTGGAGTGGTGTGCGCAAAGCGGACGTAGACAGATGTCGCGAGAGCGTTGGATGGGTGTGCGAGCAGTAAGCACAGGTGTGGGATAACGAGAGGTCGTTGGGTGGGGAGGTGGCGGCGCGTTTGTGGGTGGGGAGGTGGGTCCTCTGCATGCAGATTGGTGGGCGAAATGCACGCGCAGTTTGGTAAGTGGGCGACGAGAGTGGGTGTATTCACTCGTTAGACCAACGGGGTGCTCACATGTGTACGGCGGGGATCGTTGCGTGAAGCCGCCTCGATGAAGGCCGCGTGGCAAGGGGGTACGTACGGTATGATGCACAAGCACTTTGGTGTACGGTGTCATGTGACACGTGTGACGGGCAACTTTATCGCAACTTTCTGGCAAGATCGCGGTTGCTGGGAGGTTCCTGAAATGTGTCCGAAATGTGGCGAAGGGGTCACTTTTACGCAACGTGCACCCTTGCGGGAATTCCGATGGTTTTGACCTTCACTGGAAAACATCGGGGCCGGGTATCCAGAAAGTAATTTTTCTGCAGTTTTTTCGACTCATTTCCGCAATACCTTTTCCGCGATGTCATCTCCATTTTCCAGCGTCCCAAAGTTGTCCCCAAGAGTCCGAACGGACTCTTTCTGGACGGATTCCGGACGTGCAGAAAAAGAGACTTTTTGGACCAAGGCCTGCTACATTCCGGAGTCTGTTTTAGGTCCGACCAAAGAGTCCGCGAAGAGTCCATTTGGACAATACGAAAAGCGAAGGCAATATGTGTACATCACGTACCCGATATACTAAGATGCGTTTTACCAATAAAATTTATACCCAACCATTGTTTACATGATTTTTAATAAAGAACATGCAAAGGCATTTCTACTTATACAAACTGCTAGAAACTAAATAATGCATTGCCAGATAAATATACGAACCCCCATTAGTTAATGCTTAAAAGAAAAATAACCTGCACGGATTGAAGAACAATATTGAATGAGCCACAAGGTCCATTCCAAAAAATAATAACTACAAAATTGCTTATACTAAAACGTACAAACCGTGGTGACTGATGACACATTGTCCAACAAGGTTGAAAATAGTCACCAGAAACGATTGAAACAAACATCTCCATTTACACGGTGATTAATACATCTCTGAATACAAGAAAAACCAATAAGTACAAGACACACTGGCTATATCAACAAATCATTAAGCAAATTGAGCACCACCTTTGATGGGGCCTCTTACCAGCAACAGGGTAAGCAGCACCCGTCACGACCCTTTGCAGCGTCCTGACAAAGCAGCGCCCGACGCGTACCTTAGTGATAGAGAACTAAATGGCGGCTGTGAAATATTAAACAAAACCTTCAGATTGCGAGCACTTTCAAAGGGGAGGAAACAAACAAAACCGCGAAATCAACGTGAAGCTTGTATGTACGTATAAGTCGGTAACCACAAAAAATGCCAACATTGAATCAAACAAACCGACCTGCGTGATGACACATTCACCCTCTATGAAGGAAATCTTCACCAAATGCAACTGAAACAAACATCAGAAGGTAAGCGATGATTAGCAACCGTTAACACACAGGTTCATATTGAATTAAACAATGTAATTACCGCTCTTCATCGCGCCTCTAAGCAGCAGCCGCATTAGCAGCGCCCGTCGAGCACTTAAGTTGCACCCATCTCGTCTCTTAGCAGCACCCGCCGTAGCAGCGTCAGTCTCGCTCCTTAGCAGCGCCCATCGCGCTCCTTAGCAGTGCCCGTAGCGCTCCTTAGCAGCGCCCGAAGTTGAATAACTTGTTACGTAAAAAGAAGACCGTCAAATGCTGCACTGGGGATAGATAGATATTGGAAATAGGAGCGGTATAAGTAAACGACGTCATGGAATGCGTTATTCTGGTTGTATGAATGAATAAAAAACGTAGGACCGCGCACATCTCAGCAAGCGATGAACACCATGACATTGTTGCATAGAAAAGCAGAAACTGGATTTATAAACCTAAATGTATAACATCCGCAAAGCTAGATTGGTTCTACAAAAGTCGTAGTGCTAGGCTAACCAAAACAGATCGTGCGAACAAATGTTGGGCAAGAAATGCTCGAGTGAAAAGCTCAGTTTAAAAAATGGAGCATCTAGATCTGAAAGGGATGGACAAGTCGAGAGTGGTTGGGGGATGAGTTTGGTAAGGTGTGTAGGTAGCTGTGGCTAATGTTTTCCGAGCCTAACCTGCACAGGAAGGCGTTTGTGTGGCAGGTGGTGTGACAGGTGGCAACCCTGGCAACAGGTGTCAACATGTTGCGAAGGAGTTTTTGATTGGATTTTGAGTTTAATTGAACCAACTTGCTTGGTTTACAACCGAGTTAGCGTAGTGGTTACGAATCGCGCGTGCGATTGGGAGATCGCGAGATCGATTCTAGCTAGTAAAAAGCAACTTATAATTGGGAGTGTTCGTTTTCTTTCCTAATCTAACAATTTTGTGTTCGGTATAGTGCACCAGGCAAGCATCGATCCCCGACCTTCTGCATAGTAACATGAATCGGAGACTTCTTGGACAGATTCCGGATACTTCGCGTTTTGGCTGATTTTCAGACATTTTTAGACCCTTCAATTTTGGGTGAAGACTCTTTTTGGACACTTTTGGGGGGTCAAATGACACAATGTGGACCACCTAGCTGGCCGGCTGCATTTCGGACCGACACTTTTTGGTGATGGTGCACACACGAGACGCACGCGAGAACACACGCATACATACACACAACGAGACTACTTTGGTTCCTTTTGCAGCAGGTGCGTGTAAACGAACGCCGACTACAATGCACACATGCACCGATACATCGTTATATCAATATTGCGGGACCACTCACGCTATTCGGCACGGCGGAGCCGTCGAGAATCCCGCTAGTAGCGGCTTCGACGGCGGCGGTTACGTTAAAGGAGAGCGCCTGAATGGCGAAGTTAATGTCAGAGCAAGAGGAGCAGCACGTCAAGTTCGACGCTACCACACACCGCGTGGGAGGCATTGTTGGCGTCGTCGGTGGTTTGCCGGTCAGCGGACAGTTGGGGTACGCCGCTGCATTGGTAGACGGTAGTAGAAGAGTCGTCGCCAGCAGCGCCGTGAGAAGCTTCACAGTGAAGCGAATCGAAGTTTTCGCCAGCAAAGTGGCCATGATGGTGAATGCTGGGAGCTGGGGGGGCCTCGCTGGTCAGCAGCAGGTGGCTCTGGACGGACAAAACCACAGCAGCTTGAACAGGATGGCGGAGGTTGGATGCACCGTGTGAGAGACCAAGGATGAGGCTGACCAATGCTGGGTTGCACATGTATCCCTGACTTTCTGGTCTCTTGGGTCGAGTCTCGTCTTGGGGCGCCCTGTTCGGTAGCACTTCGGGAGCACTAAAAAGTGATCATCTTGGCCGTTGGGAGCCTCAAACGCATATTTGTTGGCAGTTGAGGGACCACGTTGGCTGGTTCGGCACCACCAAAATCGCGCGCGACCCCCATGCGACAAGACGAATTGCCGAGCTACACACCCCAATTCATTCCGAGCCCCTCACCCCATCCCATACCTGATGCGGGTGATGAAGTCAGACATGGGCCAATCAGAGAGAGGGAAGGCCACAAGATGGCTGCTCATCGTTTCAACGTGAGCAGACAGTTGCTGCTTCATTGAGGTTTCCGTCTAGGGCAGACCATATGGTAAACCATGAGTTCCCCAAGTGCCATCCTGCCCAGATAGGGATACTTCAAAACATGTGCATCTTTGGCAAAATGGCCCTCCAACACGAGTCCCAGTCCAGGCAAGGGTTGCAACAGATTTTCCAACTCTTTTGATCCGTAGTTGTTCTGACCGGAGGGTGATCCCCGGCCAAAAACCTTGCAGTTTCGTGGAACTGGTTGATGGGTTGAAGGATTTTGATCTCGCTCATGTTGGCCGTTGAGGTCCACCACCCTGGTCACAATTCTGTGTGTTATGCGGCAACCCCTTAGATTTTGCTGATGTGTTGCCGAGGTGTCAGATCAGCACAGTAACACAACTTGATTTTGGAATAACAAGGCCCAAGGCTCGGAATCACCCCGCACCGATTCATTCCGAACCTCCCTTCCCCAAATCGTGCATTTGTGCAGCTAGGATGTCGATGAATCCTGACGGTTGAAATTTTGATTCGAGGGTTGATATTCACCGACATTCCTCGACGTCGAGCTGGTGCAGCACTTTGATCACCCCTTTACTACAAGGGACAGACTCTCAGAGAGACCCAGAGAGACTCAGAGAGACTCAGAGAGACTCTGGGACAAGTTCGCCAAGACCTCCGCATGAACCACCGACCTCACTGAAATTTCCACTTCGGGGTCTCATGACGCGTCTCCTGAAGCGGTCAGCCGCACTGATCTTCATTTTGAGGCCAGGCTCGGTAGCGAGGTGCCCAGAACTGCAAAAACACAAACACAGCTGCCACACCGACATACAGGTGGCAGGTTCGGGAAAGCAGGGCAGGTTTTGGTGCACCCAGCGAACGACTACGATTCGGGGTGGCACGTGACCCACGAAAGAGGTCGTATGTACTCGAAGAAATGTAACCATTTGCGTGCGATTTCGTCCAGTGACTATGCGACGAGGATCGACGGCGATCGATCGTGCTTGTCACGCTAAACCCTTCATCTCACGATCGATACGGCCGCCACAATTTTACAATGTTACTGGTGACCGGTTCGTGGCCACAATTTTACTGTAACCTCGCACACCTACACGAAGACTAGTTACCTTGTTGATTCTGAAGCTACAGTGCTACACTCAGCGCGCAATACCGATCTTCCAGCGGATCGATCCGCTTCAGGAGACGCGTCCTCAAACGCGAAGCAGCCTAGTTTTTTTCTAGTGGCACCCCAGACTTACCCCAATAAAATCAGGCACCTTAAAGCTCAAGGCCCAAATTGCGGGGTGCGCTAGGCAAGATTACTAATCTTGCGCAGCTGTTGTTTTGGTGCTGTGGTTTGGCGAATGTTGGGTTACGCTAGGCACGAATGAATCTGATTGGTCGAGGCCAATCTCACTGCAGAAACTTCAACTTTCAGTATTTCTCAATTTGGGACTCTCGGTCCCAAACTGAATGTTTGCCTTGGGGTTTGCTGACTCAGCGAGTGTTGCGAGTGCTTGTGCGAAATAAATCAACCCCACCCTCCCAACACTTTCTTGACCAGCCCAAACCCTTGCGCAAGATTACTAACCTTGCGCAATTTGGGCCTTGAGCTTTAACGCCTCATTTTATACTTCGTTCCGCATTAGTACAAACAGTTTAAGTGAGTAGGTGTATGGATATGTAAAAAACCAGCATAAGACCAGATTAAGTCACAGAACAAGCTCTGTGTAAACAAGGACAAGTTTTGTTGATGAAATCACACATAAACCATTCATTATTTTATGTGCCTGTTTCTTTTTGTAGTACTAGTTTGAGCCTTTTCATAGTAAAGTTCAATATTGGATCTATGAAGATACATGTGTTGGTTTATAAATATCGCTTAAAAAAAGATCCCAATATTTGAGAAAAGGTAAACGAATATGAAACGTTGACAATAGTGTTATGATGATAACTAAGGTGATTAAGCTAAAGATAATATATTTGTATTTTTTTTGTCACAAAAAATAAAATGATTAAATTAAATAAAATTGTTCTTTATATTAGTTGTTTTATGGCATTTTTTATAGAACTTACAGATCATCTAACATTTTTTGGGATAAAAAATATTATACAATTCATAATCGCTGAACATGAAGGCCCTTGTGTTCTCAGGTTCGATCCCCGTAGGCGGACCCCTAAAGTTGAACAGGGCCTACGTGCGGAGATAACTCTGTCAACGGGAGCTAGACTACGGGCTAGGCACGGGGCAAGGGTGATCTCTGCGTTCGGTACTTAGTCGTTTGCTTGTGTTCACTCTACGTGCACATTTACGGGGGAAAATGGCAAGAGTTCCGCTAGCAAAAACCACAACAATAGGTTCCGGAATGATTGCAACAACATTGGCAAGACAGACTGCATCAGAGCTAGCACAACTGCTGGTCGACTGCCAGCGCAGCACGGTCGACTGCGTGCCAGCACGACTTGGTCGACCGCGCTCCAGCAGTGCATAGATGCGACTCGCCAACGTTGCAAGTCCACGGTGTGCCAGCGCTGCAGCAAGTCGGCTGCACAGCGTTGCATCTGTGGGACAACGGTGCACCTGCTTCACAAGTGCGCGCGGCTGATTGGTGCTCCCCGCCCTGTCACGAGCATAGCGCAGACGCCTGGCAAAGTCCACGTCAGCGACTGCGCCCACCAGCCACGTCGACCTCGGGATACCACCCCTGAGGTCGATCTCGCAGAAGCCACCTCGACGGCCATCTCGATCTCGCGCAGCTCGAAGGTGGCCTCCAGCAGCTCCTTCAGCTCCTTCAGCATCGTGGTGCTGCTGCTGGCGGCGAGCAGGTCGTCGACGTAGACCAGCACCCAGCAGGCCACGCCATCCCCGCCGACCTTGAAGTATAGGGCCTCGTCGACCTGGCTCTTCTTCCACCCAGCGCCGACCAGCACGTCGTTGAGCGCCTTGTACCACAACAGCGGCGACTGCTTCAGCCCGTAAAGGCTCTTCAGCAGCTTGCACACCCGGCCGGTACCGTTGTTTAAGTAGTCTGGCTGGTACATATACAGCACCCGATCGAGCTTACTCTGCAGGAAAGCGTTCTTCATGTCGAGCTGCATCAGGTTGAGGTCGAGGACGGCAACGATGCTGAGAAAGATCCTCAGCGTGACGTAGCTGCTCACCGGCGCGTACGTCTCGTCGTAGTCGGCGCCATACACCTGTGTGAAGCCCTTCACGACCAGCCTCGCTTTCTCGCGCTCGACGGTGTCGTCGATGTGGTACTTCGTTGTCAGCACCCACCGGTTCTTCATGATGTTGACCCCCGGTGGGCGTTCGACCAGCTCCCACGTGCCCATCTTTGGCGATAAGGCTGCGGATCTCATCGTCCATGGCGGCCTTCACCGCCTTGCCCTTCCAGCTCGCCAATGCCTCCTTCACCGTCATCGTCGCGATGTCTCAGCGGCGCTCGGGGTTGGCGTGCATGTCGGGGTCAAGCTCCGGTAGGTCTTTGTCCGCCTCGGCGTCGTTGTACAGCGGGTCATCGTCGACCACGTCGTACGCCGTGGTGAAGGCGGCCGGGACGAAGAAGTCGGGCGGCCTACGAATCCAACCTATACGCCGTGGCCCGGTCTGGACCTCCACCACATAACTGTCGGTGGACTTCTCGGCTCCCGAATGCTCCCCTTCGTCATCGTCGGCTTTACTGCCCTCAGTGTCCTGCTGCACCTCGGTTGGTGTCCCTGCTGACTTCTCCCGTGCGGTCGGCTCCCCTGCCGACTGCCTTGTCGCCGACTGCGCCTTGGTCGGCTTCACTGCTGCCTGCTCCCCTGCTGGCTTCTTGACCGGACTCTCCCCTGTGTGCGTCGGCTTCACCCCCACGCCGACTTGCGGGACATCACATCGGCCACCGGCGATGCTCTTGGCCGGCGCCATAGGCAATGCCCCACAACTCCCCTTATCGCCGGAGGCCGACACCGAGGTCAGCACATGCAGGTCGGCGACGAGGGGAGGAACAGGGGAAGGAGAGGGAGGGCGAGCAACAGCGGCATCCTCAGCAGCAATCTCACCGACCTCGGCAAGCAGAGGGAGCGCCGCTGTCGAGGTGTCCGTCGGCGGGTGGACCTGCATCCGCCCCGACGCTGGCCCATGCTCCAACCTCCACACCTCCAGCGACATGGTTTCGTAGAACACCACGTCCGACGTGGTGACCACCCGGTTGTCGGCGATGTCGAGGAGCTCCCAGCCTTTGCTCTCCTCCGACACGCCGAGGTGAAGGCCCCACCTGGCCTTTGGCTTCAGCTTCCCACCGCGTTGCCGCTCGAGGATCAGAAACTGCGCCATGCAGCCCCACACCCGTGCCAGCGACAAGTCGGGCTTCTTCCCGGTCAGCAGCTGGTACGGCGTCGTCCCTGGGGGCAGCTTCGACCTTTCAAGACAGTTGCAGACCCGTACGACCTGTCGCAGTGCGAGGTGCCACCAGTGGTGCTGCACGCCCATGTGCAGCAGCATCGTCCGCACCGACTCCACCACCGTCCGCATCTCCCGCTCTGCCATGCCGTTCTGCTGCGGGGTGTAGGGGCAGGTCAAGTCACGGACGTTCCCCTTGTCGTCCACGAAGGCGGTGACTCCTGTCCGAGGAACTCCCCTCCTCAGGCGGAGCGCAGCATCAACACCGACTTCTTCGTCTGCCGCTCAACCGTCACCAGCCACTGCTGGAATTCCCGCAGCATGTCCGACTTCTTGGCGACCGGCCTCACCCACACATAGCGGGTCTTGCGGTCCTTCAGCAGCAAGAAGTACAAGCTGCCATCCTTGGCAGCCACCCGGAACGGCCCGCACAGGTCGATGTGCACGACGGCCAGCACGTCGTCGGCGTCGGAGCCTTGGTCGGGGAAGGTGTGCCGCGCCAGCTTCCCTCCGACGCACGAGACACACGTGAATCCGCACCGGCCGACGGCGCGATGTCAAGACCGATGGCGAACTCGTGCTTCGCCAAGCTCGTGATCGTGTCGACGCCGACATGAGCAAGCCTGGCTTGCCACCTGCCCGGCGTCGACTTCGTCGCCGAGACGATCGCCCGCAAGGTCACCACCTCTGTCGTGGTCGGCGTCAGCTTCCTCGAGCAGGGTCGAAGGTCGGTAAAGAGGACCGGGCCGGTGTATGTCGCCCGACCAAGCACATCCCATGACGTTGAGACGAGCAACATCCTGTCGCCATCGTCCTACAGCTTCACGCCATTCTCCTTCAACTGTCCTGCCGAGAAAAGGTTCGCGTGCATGCCCAGGACGTAGAGCACATCAGGAATCAGCACTTGCTTCCCGACCTCCCCTTGCAAGGCAACTTTGCCCCTGCCCTTGACGTCCTGCAGCGCCCCATTGAAGCCACGAATATGCTTGATGTCGCCGCTCGGCTGTAGGTCGACGAAAGTGTCCTTCGTCCCTATCAGGTGGTGGGAGCAGCCATTGTCAAGCAGGACCGACGTTGGGTTCGCCTGCACAGCTGCTGCCACCGCCTGGAAGTCCTCGCCAGCCTCCGGCGCCAGCGAGACGGTCGGCTCCATGACGCCGACCAGCGAGCACGACACCTCCTTGTCATCTCACCCCTTGCCGCCAGCAGAGGAGTCGGCGTCCTTCACCGAGGTCGACTTGTTCGATTGTTTCTACTTCCGCGGCTTGCTTCCCCGATGTGGACGATGGCTGGCCGACCTCCCGCGGCCTCCCTTGACGTCCTCGTCGTCGGAATCACTGCGGTCGGGACACTCAAAGGAGAGGTGGTCGGGGCTGTGGCAGATCCAGCACTCCTGACGGCAACTTCCTCCTCCTCGACCGCCTTATTTGGCTGACTTTGCCCTGTCGGCGTCCTTCCCTGGCTTCCCGCCATTGGTACCACCACCGCCAGGCTACCCGCGCTGCCCCGGTCGCCCACTGTGCTTCGCCGGGGCGGCGTAGTTTACCTGCGGCAGGAGCTCAGAGGACCGCTCGGCTTCCTGCAGGGAGTCCTCGTTGAGCGTCGCTCGCGTGCTCGGCACCACCGACAGTTGCTTCAGCAGGTTGTAGCTGCTCGTGAGCCCTTGTAGGACGTGGGTGACGTACGACGCCGTCGAGTACTGCACGCCGGCCATCATCATCGTGGCGAGAAGTCGCCGAGCCCAGTTGCAGTAGTCGGTCGCAGTCTCCTGGTCGCCCATCCGCAGATGCGTCATCTGCTCCTCGAGCTGGCCAATGTATAGGTTGTCAGTGACCTGGTACATCGACTCGATAAAGTGCCACGCCTGGTGGCCGGCGTCCACGAGCAGCACTGCGAAATGACCGTGAAGGTCAGCAGCTGCACAACACGGAACTCCACACGCAGGTCGGGGTAGTTCTCCGACGGCATTGAAACGATGTCGGCGGTGAAGCCCATCAGTCCGGCCATCTCCAGCTGGGGATCGATGGCTTCCTTCTAGGTGAGGATGTCGAGTCGACCGACCAGCAGAGGAGTGACAGAGATCCTATCTGGCGTAAATTTAAAGTAGTCGTAGCTCTGCACTATCCCGCCTGCCGTCACGTGGGTAGCCGAAACCGGCGTCACACTGCTCCGACGTCCTCCGACGTCGCCCTGCAAGGAGCCTGCACCCGCCGACGACTGCATTCCTCGCACCTGAACGCCGCCGGCTTCCCCGGCGTGTATCACTCCTCTCTACCTCGACGACGTGCCTCCCGCACTGCTGCCAACCTGGTCCCCGGCGTTGACACCCACGTCGACGCCGCCCTCGTTGTTCACCGGTCGAGGAGAGGCCGGTCGGAAAGGGTGCTCTGCCGCCCACACGGCGCGGATGCCAGCCTCGACGACCGCCCAGGGGATGTCCCCGTACTCGCGCGCCTCACGGCGTCTCCTCGCGTCCTCCAGCTGTGCCTCCAGGGTGTCCATCACTTCAACGTCTCCTACGCTCACAAGGGTGACTACACAGCTGCCGGCCTACGAACAACGTTGGTAATGGGCTACGAAGTCGACTAGACTGAACGCTACGTCGCGGTGCCCTCCACGCTCACCGCACCATGCGGAGATAACTTTGTCAACAGGAGCTAGACTACGGGCTAGGCACGGGGAAAGGGTGATCTCTGCATTCGGTCCTTAGTCATTTGCTTGTGTTCACTCTACGTGCACATTTACGGGGAAAAATGACAAGAGTTTCTCTAGCAAAAACCACAACAACAGGTTCCGGAATGATTGCAACAACATTGGCAAGACAGACTGCATCAGAGCTAGCACTACTGCTGGTCGACTGCCAGCGCAGCACGGTCGACTGCGTGCCAGCACGACTTGGTCGACCGCGCTCCAGCAGTGCATAGATGCGACTCGCCAACGTTGCAAGTCCACGGTGTGCCAGCGCTGCAGCAAGTCGGCTGCACAGCGTTGCATCCGCGGGACAACGGTGCACCTGCTTCGCAGGTGCGCGCGGCTGATTGGTGCTCCACGCCCGTTCACGAGCATAACGCAGACACCTGGCAAAGTCCACGCCAGCGACTGCGCCCACCAGCCACGTCGACCTCGGGATACCACCCCCGAGGTCGGTCTCGCAGAAGCCCACTGCTGCAGGTCGGCTGCAACCCCCGCACACCCGACCACATAGTTGACTCTGCCCAAGCGAGGAAGGGGCCTCACCCAACTCCCGTTGACACTACGTTCTCTCCCGATCTCCTCACGATCAATTCCACTGGCATTCAGATTATGCAAGTGCGGGTTTCCGATTGTATGCAATTGACGAAATCGGACATATCAGCCCGGCGGAAAAACCACGGGGTTACCCGTGTTAAGGGTTGAGGCTCCCCATAGGTATGTCATTCGAATGGGGTTTATTTTTCCCTGACCGCGGACGGCTCTGTAGGGCCTTTCCTGACAGTCGTCAGTTGCATACATTCGCAAATCGCACTTGCATAATTTGCATGTAGATGATCTTGTCCCATCTCCTCAAGCTCATTGAAACTTCCAGTCGCGTGGGATGTGGTTGGCACGTGTCCGACTTCCACGAATCAGCACAATCGAAGCACCACCGAGGGCCATTTTCTGGTGCAGTCCCATCAGTACGGGAAATGTGTTCAGGCGGGAGCCCAACACCTTCCGGAACTGTTAAAGCATTGTTACGGCACTGTACACACGTGCCGCAACAGACTCTGGTACAGACTCGCCACTCATTCATTGTTCTAGCTGACGGACTTCTTGTCCCTGACACAGCACTGACGGAATTTGAACAGACAACATGGCCAAGCCAGACTGGTTGCAACCTGCTCACCAACACCAAACCTGCTGCTGAGGTAGCGCTAGAGCGAATGCTTGCGGGAAATCCTCCGCAACATCCATCAAGGCCCAAGTCTGAGTCGGGACATTACTTCAGTGGCGTAACTGTAACCAGATGTAGAAAACATGTGTAATGAATATGCAATTCACTACTGTAGAGGCTACTCCTAGCAAGGACAGCCCGAACAGTTCACGTCATTTTTGGGTTCGGCCTACACTTCCGCACCGAACCAATTCCGAGTCGCCCCGCACCAATCGCGACATTTCCAACCCTCGCACGTCACGAGGTTCTCGCCTAGCTAGTTTTCGCCCTATATTCTGCCCAACCCGTAACAATATGTAAGGAATTTTGCCCAATTGCTTACTGAGGCACCTATGCGCGCACAATTCCAACTTTTTGGAATCCAGGCTCGGTCCAATGACCATGCCTTCCGAAAGTCCCTCGAGTCGCCTTCGGGGTTTCCAACCCCAACCCTGCACCCAACCTTGGGCGGTCCCGCGACCTCGACCTAGCTAGCCTTCGCTATATTTGTCCTAGGTCTCATTATTTGAGCAGTAGTTGTAATCACTTCCGCGATATTGTATTTTGTGCAACTCTTCTTACAACTCATAACACCTGGTATCGAAGCTAATTTCCTATATTAACCTCGCGTTTCCGGGGTAGTTTAGTGGAGAGGTGCGATAGACTTGGTGGGCTGCAAAGCGGTCGGCTGAGAAATAGGTACGATAATTTCAATCATAAGGCGACGCATTGACGACGTTCAGTGGACCAGCCCAGCCTCACTAAGGGCGTGGTGGTTGCACCGGCGCACTCATACGCATGGCGCCATGGACCGCGAGCTCGCCGCCATGGATTTTCTCAGGGTATTCAACCCAGCATTTCGTGAAGCAGAGTTATCAGTTGGCTTTAAGAACCTCAGCTTCGAGCTCGCCTTATCGCGACGAATCGATTGGTACACTTATAATGTTCATCAGGCGAACATCGTACCAAGAGCTTCTCGGGATCTGCTGTTCAGTTTCTTTCAAACATAAAATCGTAAGGCTTCATTATCTGATCCCCTGACATCAGTCCACTATGCTTTCTAGCAACTGTCCCATGACTAGTCTTCCCTTCGGGAACATCAAAGAGTAGCAGTTTGAACACCCGCTCTTTGGCTCTCCGCCATGGCTCCTAGGACAACTTCGGCCAAAGCAATGTCGAGCTAATCTTCATCAAATTTAACATCTGAATACATTTTCTTGATCTACTCACCAAGGGCTTCAGTTCGACACCACAT